GGCCCTCGCTCACGCTCTTTCCAGGGATCACCTGCTATGCCAAAGGTCAGATTGTCCGGGTAGTTGTTTGGGTCGGGAAAGTAGTCAGAGTCCGTCCACGTGAGGGTCACGTTTGCCAGGGTGGTCGGGGCGGACACGTCCAGAATGTCACCCGGCACCAGGACGATGTCGCTGCAGCCCGTCGTGAAGGCGCTCGGGACTACGGTGATGTTCTTGCATGCAGCGCCCGCCGACGCGGGCGCTGGCATGAGCGCGGCCAGCAGGAGCAGGAGTTGCAGGAGCGCGAGTGTGCGCGCGAGTGCCGGCGCTCTTGCGCGGTCGCTGGTTGTCATCGCTCGTGAAGGCGCGCCAACCTGCAGAGGGATGCAGGCAAGGCCGTCGGTCTCGAAAGAGATGTGAGAACATGTCTCTGTGCGACTTGGGGCCCGACCTGAGCAGACTCCGACACAAAGGTGGCTCGGAACTCCGCACCCAACTGCGGCGTGGCCAGAGCCAGGCCACGGGTGATACCGTCGAGCTCTGAAGCGAGTCTACGTCCAAATCATGCATGTATGATGCCTCCTTTTCGCCGGTGTTGAGACCCACCGCGATTGAGAAGCCGGACCGTGGGTGCCTCCCCATCGCGATCCCCTTGTTGCCGGGCACTTCTCGACTGCTGTATAGTAAACAGAGTCCTAAGGCTTTCATCAAAAGCCCACAATTTCGCAACGTCAGCAAGCGACTTTGTGGATGTGCGTGTGCATGATATGGGGCTGGAAAGGTAGCCTCACAGTCAGCGCTGCGAGGTTAGCGCAGGTGACCACGCAAGCTGGGAAGATGCTGTTTTCACCTCTGCTATGCCAGATACTATCATAAGATAGTAGGTGTCTCTGTCGGAGAGATCCTGGGATGTGCAAGTGTTGTCCAGCAGGGTCTACACCCCTGCCGTGCAGCTCGACGGCGTAGCTTCCACCACACACTGGCCCGCCTGCTCGGGTGACACATGGCGGATTCCGCTGCGCCGGCCAGTATGTCACATGAGCTTGTTCACATGATTTCCGGACCCATGCGAACGTAGTGTTTTGGCGCTTCCCATGCTAGCTGCCTCCGCACGCGAATCCTCCCGCAGGCGGCGTGCAACACGCCGGGCCTGCGGGATGGGGCGCGTATCGGCCAATGCCAGGGTGTTGCGCTCGCTGACATCGCCCTGCAACAACATCTGACGCTGCAACTGTGTGCATCAGTTCTTTGTTGCTGGGCCGGCACTGCAACGCACCACTCACGCTGCTGTGATACCTTTAACGGACCCGCAGCACCGCAGCCGTCCCGCAAACCTTGGCCACCCTTTTGTGGGAAGAAAGACAGAGGCAATCCTGTACACTAATACCTGCGCCGTTGCCACCAATGCGAGGCAGCGGCGGCCTGCGGATCGCCTTGCATCATCGGAGTGTAAGCCGCGCGGATTCAACAACACTTGCAGCCACAGCACATGTTCCCGGGTGCCTTATTTGGGCAAGCTGCGTCGGCTTGACGAGATGCACTTACTTTGCAACTTGCAAAGATATTGCAGCACGCATGCCGCTGCGCTTGGGGGCCATGCGGGTGCAACCTTTGCATTGCTCTACACCCGACGCCTCCGCCTGCGTGGCCTGGGCGTTCAGCAGACTTGCAAATCGATCCTTGCATAACCAGAAGACGGCTGGTCACGGCGCCAACGGTGCCGCGGTGGGGCGCCCTTCATGGGGTGGCTGGGGGCTGTGCGCCCATCATGCGGCATCGCATGCTGACCGATGACGAGCTTTGCTCACCTGAGGCCGCATGAGATTGAGCCTGTTGATCAACCATCCTCGGTGGCAATTTTGTATTTGCATAGCACGAAGTGATGACACTGACATTGCACCAGATTCAGCCCGGTGGTGACCCCGCTTTGAGTGATCAGTCACCTGATCGCGTGGTTGAATTGTTCTGTGATGCTCGTATTTGCAACCCTTTCGTCGACTTGATCCGCTTAGTGGCACATCAAAGCAGCTCCGCAGATCCAGACGCGCCATACCGTATCAATTGCACGGCGCCAAAGAGAGGCGACTAGGCCTTGTGAGCGATCGGCAGCAGCGTGATGACTAGATCTGTGCCGCCGCTCGTCCAAGCAGGCCAGCGTGCCGCTCGCGTCGCCAAGGGTCGCGCCCCAGCAGCGCCCTCGCAGCCCAGTGGTTGCACGCCAGCTGCCCGCCATGCCAGCGGCCGCCGCCCATTGGGACGCAAGACAGCTCTGCATCCCTCAACGCACCCATTCAACGATCACCTGCCGCCCGTCCCCTCCCGCCGCGCGTCGCGGCGCCCGCAGCACCAACCGGCACCCGATGCCGCCCCTCCGGACGCCCCAGGGCGTCTGGCGATTCAAATCTGCGAGCAGCGATGCCGTGGTTGAGGCCGACAAGCTCTTCAGCCTGAACGACTTCCAGGGCCGCCAGACGTGGGAGTTTGAGGAGGGAGGCGACCCAGCAGAGCTCGAAAAGGTTGAGGAGCTGCGGGCGGCGTTCAAGGCTGGGCGCCACTCCCAGAAGCACAGGCGAGCGGCGGTTGGGGGTCTGCAGCCGGTCAAGGAGGGCCCGGGGCTTGGTACTGCTGCGGGGTTGAAGGGCGGGTCTCGTGTGCTGTGCTGAGTGTTGCGGCGCGCGCGGAGTGCAGCGCAGCGCAGCGATTGTGTAGCGGGGCAGCGGCCGACGTGAAGTGAGGTGGGTGGGTGTTACCGCAGGCAGTGGGATGCGTTCGAGGAGCGACGTCGGCACAACAGCCGCGCGTGCGGCGGCGTTGGAGGCAGTTCCAGCAGCAGCAGCAGCAGCAGCAGCGGCGGCGGCGGTGGCAGCGGCAGTAGGCAGCAGCAGGCAGCAGTGGCAGCACCATGCAGAAGAGGCACCAGCAGGCAGCAGGGCAGCATTTTCAGCAGCAGGAGCAGCATCTCAGCAGCAGCAGCAGCAGCAGCAGCAGCAGCAGCAGCAGCAGCAGCAGCAGCAGCAGCAGCGGCGGCAGCAGCGGCGGCGGCGGCGGCGGCAGCCCTGTCGAACATGATGTCCTCAGCATCCGCATACCCTGCAGCACCCTGACCGAAGCCGAGCCCCCGCCCCTGCCTGCCGTCCCCCTCCGCAGCTCTGACGAGCTGCTGCGGCTGCAGGCGGCCCCCAAGCTGGCGTCAAAGCGCGCCGCGCCGCCGCAGCAGCCGCTAGCAGATGGGGAGCCCGTGACGGCCGAGCGGGTGGAGGGACACCTGAAGGTTGGGGAGACGTGGATATTGAGTTTGCTGGGGGGAGTGGGCGGGAGTATTTTAGCACGTGTGGCGCTCGCCTGTGGATGAGCTGCGGGACTAGCAAAACGTTGGCAGGGAGAGGGGCACCCAAGCTGCGCTTTGGGCCAGGATTGGTTCGGGCCGCGGCGGAGCCGTTGCTGCATATCAAGCAGCGGCCGGCTGCCCCGCGTAACCTTGCAGGTGCTGCCGCTCACACACACACGCTCACGAGCGCTGCTGCGACGCCCCAAGCCTAGAATTGTCACCACGCGGCGCCACGCCCCTCACCGCTTGCGCACGGCACGCACCCCCCTTCCTCCCCCAAAAACTCGCCGCAGGGGGCGCTGGCTTTTTACGAGTGCCTGCAGTGCGACGACGGCCACTTTCCTGGCGACTATGGCGGCCCGATGTTCCTGATGCCTGGGCTGGTCATCACGTTGTACACATGTGGGGTGCTGGACCAGGTGGGATTTGGAGGGGCACGGGATTAGATTTGAGGGGGATACGATTGGGAGGGCGGGATGTCCAGTAAGGGCGGGGGCTGGAGGAGCAGGGGGGAAATGGTGATGCTTTGCGGTGCAAGGGAGTGGGAAGAAACAAGGGGCTCGATCGCGTTTTGCGGAGGAAAGGGGGGGCTGAAATACTGGGCTGCTGCAGGGTGAGCCCGACACCGTTGTCACCTGGAATGCTGCTGGGCGAGCATGGAATAGGCAGCGGGCGCTGACAATGCGTCTACGCACACCCGCCACCCCACACGCGCGGCCCTCTCCCTCAAAGCAAGCTGAGGCGGTGTCTGCATGCCACACGCGCCCGCTCCCGGCCCTGCCGTGAACCCTGCTCCCTGGCGCTGCATGAGCCTCTGCGGGCTGAGCAGTGTCCGCCCGAAGCTACCGCTCCCATGCTTGCTGTTTTACCTGCCCCTCCAACCCCCAATACACCTCGCCCCAACCCCCTTACTCACTTATCCCTCACCAGTCCTCGCCTCCCTCACCCGCGCCACCCCGTCCCACCC